TTTTTTTTTTTTTTTTTTTAAAGCATTTCAATAGCGAGTTCGCTCATAAATTTTATTGGAAAATAAAGTTTTTGAAATTTCATTGAAAAATAAAGTTTTTGAAGCTCTGGGGAATATTTTATACTATCCGCCATAAGCCATGAACCAACGAATCCTACAGAGTTTGATGTTGACGCCATTTAGCGCCATACCAAGTTCGCCAATCCCTGCAAAACAGTTCCCAAAGGAGGTCTCAATAAATGCAATATTGTACTGGACATTAAGAATAGAATTTTTAAGTCAAAAAAAAAAAGTTTTGGAATCTTCTAAGCCTTGCTTTTTTGTAAAATTTCGTTTCAGAAAAATCGGATGTTTTCATCTCTTTACCGACCGGTGCTGGGAAATCACTCTGTTATCAGGTACTCTTCGAATCTTTCGGGCTGTGTTGGTTCATTTTTCGTTAAATTTTCGTTTCTTAATGGTAATAAAATAATAAAACTTCCTTGCGAATGATAAGGCATTCAGCATGATCGTGAAAACCTTTCTATGCTTTTTTTGCACCTACGCAATGTAAAAGCGCATGTTGTCAGAGGTATGTTTACGTATGTTTGTGTGCATGTGTGTGTGTGTTCCTGTGTGTGTGTGCCTGTGTGTGTATGTGTGTGTGCCTGTGTGTTCATCTGTACCAATTTTTCATTTCGAAATCAACAAAAGCTACAATGCTGAAACTCTTGGGACTCAATCTACATGCATGTACGGTCCCGTATTCCCAAAATGGCTTGCCCACCTGGTTCCCACGTACGGGCTCGTGAAAACTTTTGGCGGTAAGTTGCGAACTCGGGACCCAGGGAAGCTAGAAAGCTGAAATTTTAGGGGAATGTTTTCTCACATTCGTAGTGGCCAATCCCAATTCTTTTAGCTAGAAGCACCTGCTGGAAAAATTAGTGCCATCAGCAAAAAAAACCTGCGAAAAAGTGTGCAAGAAATTCGTATTCGCACCGGCAGTCGGTGTGATGGCCAATTTTTTTGAGTATTGGGACCGTGTCCGTAGTTTATTTACTCTTCCTTTTATATTAATTTTTTTTGACGAGCAATTGTGTTGCAGTTGCCAGCATTGCTGTATAATCCAGGCGTAACAATTGTTTTTTCGCCTCTGATTGCTTTAATACAAGATCAAGTACTGTCCTGTAAAGCTCGTGGCATCAAATGTGATTCGCTGAATTCGAAAACCGGTGCTGAGGATAGAAGGCGAATTGTTGAGGTGAGTCCAAAATAGTTTGCATTCAGAAAACTCACGATTAAATCTCACGAAAACTCACGATACGAGTATTTCAACTCTCGCTTTTTTTTGCTTTTATTCAAAAGTTCAGATTTGCTTTAATTTACTTTTCTTTTGTAGCACTGTTTTGTCTCTTCCTTCCTATAGCTGTCTCCAGTTCTTGCCTCGAACTCCTGACTAGTACTCTTGTTCCCTTCCTTTATCTTAAATCTTTTACAGATTTAACCGATACTTTTGTGGAGCATATGAATGAAATTTAGGATTTACGGTCGCTTAGCCCAGTGCTACAGTTGCTTTACATAACGCCCGAATCAGCGGCAACTCCGAATATCCAACGAATGATCACAAGCCTGTCCAAAAGGAACATGTTGAATTATTTTGTTGTGGACGAGGCGCACTGTGTCACGCATTGGGGTCATGATTTTCGTCCCGATTATCTCAAACTTGGAAATTTACGACAGCTGGCACCAGATGTAGGTCCAGTTGATTTCCTTCTGTGCAGTTTTTTGAAACTTTCCAATTTTGTGGTACTTTAAAAGCGAAATACTTCCACTAATAAATATAAAGGGCCAACAGTGGCGATTTTTTG